TACAGCAAAAAAAAGCGCAAGGCCTCCACAGCAAAAAAAACGCACAAGGCCTCCACAGCACAAAAAAAAAACGCACCAAGCCTCCACAGCAAAAAAACGCGCAAGGCCTCCACAGCACAAAAAAAAACGCGCAAGGCCTCCACAGCAAAAAAAACACGCAAGGCCTCCACAGCAAAAAAAACGCTCCAGGCCTCCACAGCAAAAAAGAAACCGCGCAAGGCCTCCACAGCAAAAAAATGAAACGCGCAAGGCCTCCACAGCAAAAAAACGCACAAGGCCTCCACAGCAAAAAAACAACGCACAAGGCCCCCACAGCAAAAAAAACAACGCACAAGGCCTCCACAGCAAAAAAAATCGCAGAAGGCCCCCACAGCAAAAAAAAAATGCACAAGGCCCCCAGAGTAAAAAAGCCGGCACAGCAAAAAAAAAACACGCGCAAAGCCTCCACATCAAAAAAAACGCACAAGGCCTCCACAGCCAAAAAAAAAAACGCACCAGGCCTCCACTGCAAAAACAAAAACCACAAGGCCCCTACAGCAAAAAAAAACGCGCAAGGCCTCCACAGCAAAAAAACGCTCCAGGCCTCCACAGCAAAAAAGAAACCGCGCAAGGCCTCCACAGCAAAAAAACAAAACGCACAAGGCCTCCACAGCAAAACAAAAAACGCACAAGGCCTCCACAGCAAAAAAAAACGCAGAAGGCCCCCGCAGCAAAAAAAAAGCGCAGAAGGCCCCCAAAGCAAAAAAGCCGGCACAGCAAAAAAAAACACTCTTACCGCGCAAGAGAGTCAAGAGAGAGCTGAGAATGCTGAGAACTGTCAGAAGACCTTTCTCTCCATTCCCCCAAACAGGCACCAATGCCGCTATCGAATTAGTTTCCCCCCCCCTTCATGAAACGTCAACCTCCGCAAAATCGATCGTGAAACGCAATCAGATCGAGTCCTTAGGCGTGGGGACGGGCACCTGGTCTTGCTGGTAATTAAAGTCTGTCAAGATACGGCTTCTGACGCGCTGGACTGGCCTTGCCCTTTCCTCGTACCGGCGTTCATGGCTACCAGCAGTTTCTGTGGGTGCCTCCTTCACACGTTTGCGAAACCGCCGGTAAAACGGTTCGAGCAGGACCCCTTGTCTTGAGACACGCGGCCTCGTGTTGTTGTTTGTTGTGTGAAGTTGTGTTGCTGGCTGTCCGCATCGTGCTTCATGTTTCTGAGGGGGGTCGCGTGCTTATCATGTTGAGGATTGTTTTTCGGCATCAGAGCTCGTCGCCCTCTGTTTGCCGGTTTTGGGGAGCATGTATGGCTATGGTTTTGCAGCATGTTACATTGCATGTTTGCTAAGGAAGGCAGCAGCAAGCTTGAGCTGTGATGTCCCATTGAGCGTGACAGTGAGCCGATGTGCGACAGGCCAGCCGCCCTATTACAGCCGAGATCGGGTGCGCCGCTCAAGTGCCGTGCGCACACTTCTGAGCGCCCGCAGCCAGAAGAGAGCGAGAGCACAGAAGCGCCCAGAAGAGCACTCATTGAGACTAATAGCTTAGTCTACTGCTTAGGACACCCTCTTTCGCAACATCGTCACTGCGCCGCTGCAGGCAGAGTCTGCTCAGACCAGGGACGTGTTCTTTTCTGCTTTCAGAGGGGGATGATATAAGCTGATTCGAATTGATAAATATTCGTCACATCAACCCGTGTCCAGCTTGCAGTTGCAGGGCTAGGGCCGCTAGGGTGGCATGAGTTACTTTCCAGAGTTTCCGGCATTCTCTCCTTGTTTGATGGCAAGCTCTTGTAGGCCTTGGCTGAGCCCCGTGTGAGGCCCCGTCGTGTTGCAGCTCTCGCTGCGCGGACCTCATCAAGTCCCTGATGCAGCGAGACCCGGCCGGGGAGCCCAAGTGGGAGGGGATGCGGATCAAAAAACATTTATTTAGGATCAAGAAAAATTTATTTAAAGGCTGACGCCGCTGCCGCCGACCCCCGAGGTAAGTGCCGCGGGCTTTGCTTTTTTCTGGCTCGGGTGGAGGGGAGGGGCGGCTGGGGCGGGGGCGGGGGGGGCTCCCAAAACGCGTGGTTCCACCACTTGGCCACCTTCCAAAACACCAAATTGGTTGTTTTTTTCTGGCTCGAGTGGAGGGGAGGGAGGGGGGGGGGGTTGAGCTGAGGAGCCACCTCTGCTCGTGTCTATGTATCGCTTCACATTTATTCTGCGTGCATTGACACCTTTGGCTTTTGCTTTGCGAGTTTCGGAATTCTGGCAAGGAAAAAACCCTTGAATAAACAGGCATTGGACATGTTTGTGGTGTTTGCCGTTCCAGCATCGCAGCGCCCCAACAGAACTCCCTAAGACCCCCCCCAAGTCCAAAGAGCGTAAGCGACCAGCGCCCCAAAAGAACCCCCTGAGACCCGCCCAAGTGATGGATGGATAGATAGATAGATGCACGTGGAGAAAAGGATGGCCGCAGATGATCAAATTTGTTGCTGTGCCTGGCCAAGCCTCAATAGACCAATATGCGACTTCATATGCGATCAGTGCATCCATGCATACTGTATGTGTGTATTCTAGCGCACCTATGCAACTGATAAACGAGACGGGAAGCAAGCGAGTAAGTTCACGCATATATAGGGTCAAAGTAGGACTCAAGTAGGATTTGGCCTGCGTGAACTGCCAGAGAACAAGTGCGTGAATTGTGATTGTGTGATAAACGGTTGCAGGTTCGGATAGTTGGTTTCAAATGTTGTTTTCGTCCTACACGCGTGTATTGTGTACCGTTGCAATGACATGTGGCTCAAGCAAAATGGAGCGGCTCCTTTCAGCAGATACGGCGGCCACGCGTCAAGCAATGTGCAGCATTGGTAGTTTTCATCATTTCTTTCTAGTAGAAATGAAATTGGAAAGCTGGAGTAGTGCTTGAGGCCAAATTGGGAGAGCTGCGCCTCGAACTTTCGCGGCTCTGGTCCAATTTGTGCTGCAGCCCGCAGGCGCTGAAAGTTTTGTGTCCATGTCGATCCATAATGTCGTCATCGTGATCATTCGCCTCGTCGCCGTCGTTCTCATCGTCATCATCTTCATCACCATCATACTCATCACCATGGACACGCTGATAGTGGTGGTGCTGCTGATGATGATGGTTATGATGATGGTGATGATGCTGGTGATGGTGATGATGTTGGTGACGGGGATGGTGATGATGATGGTGATGATGATGATGATGCCGACGACGACGACGACGATGACGACAACGACCCCGATGATGATGATGATGACGATGACGATGCTGTTCTGAATGACTGATGTCAATGTGGTATTCCGTTCAGCAGAACAGTTTTTTACAACCATGTCCCATCTTCAGGATCCTGGTCACGCGAGCGAGGAG